CATCCGCTTGAGGACATGCTCGGCCTAAATCTTAGATCGTCTTGCGAAGAACTACACGCGCGAAGCCGAAGCATGCACGGGGAATGGTCGCACGAAGGGGGAAGGAGGGGGGTGCGGGGCCGGTGACTCCCGGCATCGTGGAACAAAAAACCGTTCGTTTGGGGGAATCGTGCGCCGTACGCCCCGAGAGAGCCAATCAGGCTGGATGCGTCTGGGGGTCTGAGGTGGCCTGGCTCTGTTTTGGGACCAGGAGAGAGGTTGAAGAATCAAGTTGAAAAGTTCACTGAATTTTGGATGGAATGAAGGGTGGAGGACATATGGTGTACCTCCGTTGGTGGTGGTGGGCGTATGGTGCCCACCTTTGGTTCTAGAAGGGCCTATGGTGCCCCTCAGTGCCCACCCCGTCCCGTCCACAGGGACTTCGCACCTCCCCCTATGGTGGGGAGGTGGGTGGACGGGCCGCCCCCCCCTGGCGTCGCACGTACTACGCCAGGGGCGGCGGGGATTTTTGCACGGATCGGCAACGAGTCCCCCCCTCCCGTCCCATCCCGGGCTCTGAGACCGTGAAAACCTGATCCAGGGCGCAACACCTGCACAAGATGGACCCTGGGATTGGCGTCATCTCCGCCTCCTGACCAATTTGTTGGGGCCCCACTAGTTCAGGACCCCCCAGCCGCCTTCAAGAGTTGTGGTCCCTACGCCCCTGGCGGGCCCGTCGGGTTCGACACCCCTCTCGACAGATCGTCGATACGATGTTACCAGCCTGGAACGTATTTCTATCCTTCTGATTTGCCCTGCCTCATCTCGATGCCGATCCTCGGGGTTCTCTTCGTTTCCGAGGGCGCATCCCGTAGATTGTCAGGGGTAGGGATACGTTCGAGGCTGGTTGACCCCTCTCGGGAGATCCTCGACACGATGGCGCCCCCGGGGCCCCGATCATTGGATACTGAGTTCTTTCGGTTGCGATCGGTAGCAACCGATCGGTACTCCAGAACGGTCGCGACGGATCGCGACTGGTCGCCACCGATCGCGACCGATAGGTCGCGAGCGATCGGTCGCGACCCATTTTGAAGCAAATCGGTCGCGACCGATACCGACATCTGAGGAGCAAGATCGGTAGCCACCCTTCTCGTCGGTAGCGACTGGAACATTCCAGTATCAGCTGATCAGGGGTGGACAAAAAACGGTGTTTTGGCCATGTCGTGGGCTGTTCTCGTTTCGATTTCGTTTTGCGTTGAAGGCGGATTGACGACAAAACGAGGGAGAACGCCAACAACATGAAAACGAAAAGCACCGTTTAGGTTCAGCCCCGCAACCGCTCAGGGGGGGGGGGTCCGCACCGCCACAGCTCCCCCGGGTGGTGGCCGGCGTCGCGAGGCCGCGGGGCCTCTGCGCCCGCGAGGCCGCGCCCCCTCTCCGCACCACGCTTGCCCGAGGAGCTGCTCGGGGCCAGGCGGGGGCACTGTCCCGGCCCTGGCCCCGAGCAGCTCCTCGGGCTGCTGGTGGGGGCCCCGAACTCGGGGGAGAAAAAGATAACGGATACGTGTTGTCCCCCTTCGTTTTCGGCCTTTCCTGGTCCTCCTGGGGAATCCTCGTTGTCACCGCCGGATTCGCCTCGAAATTCTGGTCAGAACGCACCCCAAGAGAGGTCCGGGGACAACACGTATCCGTATCTTTCCGCCCCCCAACGAACGGGGAGGTGACCACACCGTGTGGTGGGTCGGTGGGGACTCTGTAGGCCTCCTAGATGGGGTCGGAGTAGATGGGGTCGGAGGAGATCGCGCTGCATCGACGATGCATCGACGATGCGGTTCGATGCGGTTCGATGCGGAGCCCGATTTTCTCCACGCCGACGTCGCCGATGCGTCTCCGACGTTGCTAATGTATCGCCGATGCATCGCCGACGCATATGCGATGCATTGGCGATTCGGTGCGATCCTTCGACCCCATCTACACGGACCCCATCTGGAAGGCCTCTAGATTCGGGGTCACCGCACGGTTTTGGGACTCGGGTCGTTCTCCGAGGATGTCTCGGGCGACCGGGGCCTCCGAGGTCCCAAAACCGTGCGTTGACGGACCGTGCGGTGAGGTCTTGGGGGCCTTCGAGGTTACCGCACGGTCTGTCACCAACACTTGGTAGGGGGCGCGTAACGGTCGGGGGCGGCCAAGAGGGAGGGTGATGACTAGGGGGGGTGGATATCATGGCGGGGGCCATGATAGTTCCCCAGATTTCATGGCGCCTCTTCTTGTTTCATTACGTCCCTGGCCCCCCCCCCTGGGCCGCGCACATGCCGCCGGCCATGATTTGTGTCCCCACCCTTCTTGGACGCCCTCCTCTTGGACGCCCGCGATGTTGGGGGGGCGCGTGACGAGGGGGCGATGAACGGGGGGGCAGCAAGGGCTGCAGAAAAGGAGCCCTTTGGGGGGCCTGAGATGAAGTCGGGCATGTCCCTCGACAGGAGGAGTTTGCAAAGATAGTTTAAAACAGTCTTGGGGCGAGCTTTCTTTTATTCTTGGATTTGCTGGAATCTTATTTTGACTGCCCTTTTATTCGTCTTGCACAATCCGCCTGTAGGAGGACAGGCCCGACCTTAGCCTAAAGGAGCCCCTTAGGACCCAAAGGGGGCCTTTCGGGCCAGAGGAGGGCACCTTTCCCTCCCCCCCCATCGATCGCCTCCCCCCCCCCCCACGAATTCGCGCCCAGGGCGGGCGGTAACAGGGAGTGACTTGAATAGGGGGCGAAGGAAGGGACCCCGAAGGGGCCCTCTGGGCTCCCCTTAATGTCTCCCAAAGGGTCGCTTTGGGGCCCTGTTCTTTACTTCCCTTTTATCGGCGGCGAGCGTGGGGGGGAAGTGAGAAGGAGAAGGCCTTCTCAGAAGGCGGCGGGACTTCTCAGAAGCCCTCGCGCCTTCTGAGAAGTTGTTTCTGTCTTCGGGGAAGGCTTAGAAAACGTATGTATCAGAAGCCTGATGTGAAGGCCCGCCCCTTCTCACTTCTCCCCCTCGCTCGCCACCGAATTTAGGCCACCCCCCATGACCACCCGCTCGACAACCTCGGGCTAGGACTGGAACTGTTCCGGAACGCCCTGGGACGATTTGTCTCAGGAGGGGGAACAAAAACAAACACAGACACATTTACTCGTCCACTCCCAGGAACAGATGGGAAAATATGGGAAGTGTGGGGGGAGACACAAACCTAGAACATCTAGGAAACTATGGGGAATCCTGTTATTTGTGTGTGTATTTATTTGTGTGTCCCAGGGACCCTCCACTGTCCCAGCGGGACACGGCGTCCCAGAGCGTTCCGGGACGCTCTCGGAGCCTTCCTAAAGCTTGTAAGCGGGAGGCACCTCCGCGGCCCCGCGGGCTGGCCCCCATGGGCCGCGACCTGCTGCGGATGTACGGTGCGCTTTTCTTGCGGCTGCCCCGCGCGGAGCGTATCCGTGCGACCGCGTACTCGCTGGATCGCGCCCCGGAATCCAAACCGCGACCCTGATCATTCGGAGGTGGATGGACCTCCTACCCTGACACGTCGATTAAGGAATTGGCCGTTTTCGGTTCTCGAGAGGGCGCCGCGGCCATCATTTTCCAGGCTTGCGCCCGCCAGGTTTGGGCCCGAGGTCGTTTTCACTAAACCACTTTTTACTAAAGGGGGTTCTGCCCATCCCCGAATCATGAGATACTGGAATTTCCCAGTCGCGACCGACGAGAACGGTGGCTACCGATTCTGCTCTTCGAATTTTGGTTTCTGGTCGCGACCGATCTGCTCTTCAGAATCGCTCGCGACCGATCGGTCACGATCGGTGGCGACCAGTCGCGACCGATCGGTCGCGATTTGCCGTTACCGATTGGATTGCCGATCGGTCGCTATCGATCGCAACCCCAAAGAATGTATCCAATGATCTGGGGAGGGCGCGGATACGGATACGTTCAGTTTCGCCGCTCGTGAGGAGCGCTCTGGAACGGCCGCGGCCCGATACGTCCCCCGCATCCGCCAGGTCTCAGGAGAATGCTTTTGAAACCTTCTGGGCCATCACGCGCGTTATGCCCTCCCCTCCGCCCTCCCCCCACCATAGCGTAACGCCCCCCCTCCGCCCCCTAGTGCGTCCCGGGCACTGCTGCAATGCGTCTGGCACCAGTCTGTGGTGCCTGATCCACTCGGCGGGGGTGGGGGGGGGCGTTACGTTATGCCGCCCCCGCTCCCTCCCCCTCCCCACCCACCTACGCTCTTTACCGCCGCAAATCAAAGAAATCCTCTCCAGAGATCTCCGATTTGTCCTTTTCGATATGTTTCGGTCGGGAGTTTCGTATGCCCTCGCAACTCCGCTTTCAGAGTGCATTCGTGTGCGCTAGCGTCTGGTAGCCGATGAGGAGTAGGCGCCGACTCGGCCTCGAGGAACGTCGATTTAGCGTGTCGATCTAGCGTCGGCCAGCGTCGGTTCGCAAGAGCCAACACGATGTTTACAGTAGTCGAAGAAGAGAAGCAACTTTACAAACATAAACTTTTGAGCTCCGCGAAGATCTCTTGGATCTGCGCCGGGGCCCCCTAGCGGCGCCTCCGGCGCCGCCCCTGGCGCGCTCCGCGCGCCAGGGAAGGGGGCCCAGCGCGGATGCGAGAAATCCGCGCGGACTCCCCAAAGGTCATGTGTATGCCGTTTCTCCTTTCTCCAAAGAGGATGCTCTGGTGCAGTCAATTTGCATAGTAAGGACTGGCCACCTCCCCAAGGGCACTCTTGCATCTTTGCATCCGCGGTCCCATCTTTGGCCGCGTTTGCTGGCCGACCTCGTTGGAACAACGCCAACGTGGCCCTCCAAGGCCCTTGCATCCTTTCTGCGGATCCCGATGATACGGGTTGTCTGTGCAGTAGGCTCCCATGTTGTGCCGCAGAAGATGTCGTCCTCGTGCTAACTTCATCTGACGGCGGGGGCGCCCAGACCCGCGCGGCACTCGCGCGGCGCGCGCCGCGCGCGCGCGACGCGCGCGCGCGCGCCGACGCGCAGGTTCGTGAACAGCGAGGGCGAGAACGGCAGCGCCGAGGCTCGCGAGAAGAGTCGAGGAATGAGAAACGCCACGTATCGGCGGCGACCCCACCCTGGAAATGAGAAGGAACAGGCCTTCTCAGAAGGCTCGGAAGGTCCCAGGCCTTCTGAGAAATTTGCTCAGTCTTCCCCGAAGACGCAAACAACTCTTCAGAAGGCGCAAAGGCTTCTGAGAAGTTCCGCCGCCTTCTGAGACGGCCTTCTCCTTCTCACTTCCCCCCTTCGCTCGCCGCCGAATGTACATAAACTTTTTGGCGCTCCGCGCGGATTTCTTGGATCCGCGCTGGGCCCAAGTGGCGGCGCCTCCCGCGCCGTCCCTGGCGCGCCCCGCGCGCCAGGGAGGGGCGCCCAGCGGGGATCAGAGGAATCCGCGCGGACCTTTACAAGGTTATGTTTGTGGCGCTTTGTTTTCTTCCAAAGAAACGACGATCGACGTTCGATCCATACCCCTGCTGTTGCCCGCCACTCTGGGCGCCAGGGGCTCAGATGATGTTAACAGCGTTTGTTGTTCGTTGTCGAGATCGACGTCTGTCTTTTGGGGGTCAGTTGCTCTTCCGTCTTAGGACAATCGTTCGCGCCGTTTTCGGTTCGGCTCCGTTTTGTGCTGCCGGTGTTGGTACGTTGTGGGTTGCCGTTGTTTTTCTGCGATGGTTGGCGGGCAACCGAACAGTTGTGAACGGGTGGCGCAAGAATACGCCCCGAACGTTGTTAACACCAACGGAGTCCTTGCTGCTGCCCGCCGTCGGGCCTCAAGAGACGGGGGTCAATGCAAACGGGGTCGGCCAGAGAGCCGGATTTTGCAGGATCCTGCAGGGCCAGGGGCGCATTGACCCAGGATTTGGTGCAGGATCCTGTTGGATCTTGCAGGATCTTGCAGGATCTTACAAGGCCTGACTGACCCGGATCTGGATGGACCCGGGTCAGTAAATCCCCGACGGCAGTTGGGGCGACAGAGGCAGCATAACATTGATAAATCACGTGTCCCCAGAGGGCCCGACCTTACGCGTGCCCCCGCTCCAGCTCCTCGTGGGGTGGGGGCGTGAGCACGGGCAGGAATATACAAAGGTCGATCGCCTGAGCAAAGGTGCCGATGACTTACCGCTGGCCTTCCCTCGTGGTCGCCCTCCGTGGGCCTCCTGGGAGGCCCTTGTTGCCACGGCTGGATTCGCCTGGAGGCCCTGGTCGGAGCGAATCTCCAGGGGGTAGCGGTGCTGGCACCTTCTCTCGCTGCCTCAGGTGCGGCGTTGGCCCCGCCGCCTGCAGTGGAGCTCGCAAGGAATCTAATGGGTCATGGTGAGGGAGACGGGCCCCAGGGGTCGTTTTCAGTCGTCGGCCAAGCCGGGCCTCTTCCCCAGGACCCGGGACCCTCAAGACACGGCTCCGCATGAGGGGCCGGTCTTTGGGGCAGGGTCCCGGACTTGAATTGCCGATGCGCCAGTGGTCCAGGGTCGGCCGATGTCGAGCTCTTCGGGTAATTAGGGGATCGACTGCAGAAGTGACTTACCCCAGAAATGTTCTTTCGTAGAAACTGGGATACGTACGTAGAATCTTCCTAGACCCCCGAACAGTATACGTATTGTCCTGCATCTATGTAAAGTGTGGGTGAGTCCATCATGTTTTCGGCCTCCTGCATCTATGTAAAGTATGGGTGAGTCCATCATGCTTTCGGTCTCCTACTCGAACTCGTATGCGCCATTAGGAGCATCGCGGGCGTTCAGGGGTGAAGTATCCACACAGCTTCGGAGGCCAACGACGACATCACTCCGAGAATTGCCTTGCTGTAAGTATACGCACCTTGTCCTCGGTTGCCACGTCGCAGAAACATGATAGGGCAACTCTAACTGAGTATCCTGTTTGGTTCCGTTCGGGGCGTTTGTGGCATCCATGTGTTCAGCGAGACGATGACCTGAATTGCTCAACGAATCTACGATCCAACCATTTCCATCAGATGGGATGGCGTCACTGATTCTTCAGCGAAGGTAATGCCAAACTCGTTCAATGAACCGTGAGATCTTGTCGATGCACTGTTTTCACATTGGGTTCGAAACATATGGCAAAAATATGGGGTCTAAGGTTCCAGTAGCGATTTCCCGCGATATTGCAATAGTTTCGCAACGTGGGATCTTAGGGTATGGCGAGCGGCGTGCGTTACAATGAAGACCAGCAGAAAGGATGAGAGGACTTCATCGGACACCTCGGCATTCTTCGCTTGCCACCTTTGCCTTGCTAGACCTCCGGCGTCGTGTTTGCTTAGATACGCTCGAGTCTGAGGTTTTGTTTTGTCATGGGCTGGTCCCCTGACGCAGTGTTCGACTGAAGAGTTGCCCACAGAAGCGGACCTGGGACCCCTACGCATGCAGGATCCAGACCTCGGACAACAAACAACACATGCAGAGCACACAAAGTATACTGAGCGTTTTCTTTGGGTGCGGGGGGGGGGGGGCGGAGGGGGAGATCCTCACCCGCATCCCCTCTGCACCGTCCTCTGCTTTCTAATCTCCTGGACCCCTGGAAAGTGGGGAGGACGGGGGGCGGGGGGGTTCGAACTTCGAACCTCCCTCTTTTCACCCACACCCCTCTGAATGTCGTGTCCCCCCTCTGCCCCTCCCTCTTGCGCGTCCGTCCGCGCACGACGAACACAACGAAGACGCTGACGAGACGTCGCCTTCGCCAAAAGATGCCGACGTTGCTGACGACGACCACGATGACGACGACAACGGTCATGACGCTGCCGATAACGCCTGCGCTATGCAACAGCAGCGACGACGGATATCATGACGCTGCCGACGGCGACGCTGACGACGAACCGTTCCCCACTGCGGAGCGAGGAGCGAGGATAGCATACGATGTCCCGCCAGCCCGTCTGCCTGCCCATCTCGCCCACCCGACCCGTCCGTTATTGTCCCCTCCGCCCGCCCCACCCGCCCGGGAGGGCCCCGCCTGCCCCGCCCGCCCGGCCGTTCGGGCCCCTCGGTAGCGCCCAGGTGTTCGGCGTTGCTCGCTGCCGTGGTCTTCTCTGTGCATCCGGCTTTCGGGGGCGGCCGCACTCTCCGGAGCGCTAATCCGCACCAGAAGTGTTCGGCAGCAGCTGGTCTGGATGGGGTCGGAGTAGATGGGGTCGGAGGATCGCGCCGCATTGCCGATGCATCGCAGATGCGGCTCGATGCGGAGCCCGATTTGCTTCACGTCGACGTCGCCGATGCATCGTCGATGCATAGCCAATGTATCGGCGATGTGGTGCGATCCCGCGACTCCATCTACTCCGACCCCATCTAGGAGGCCTCTGTGGCAGCCCAGCTTGCCCTCCTCCCTACATGCGGCCGGGAGGGCCAGCTCCTGGAGGCAAAGGCGCTGACCGTCGGGTGTGGCCCGACGCGGTCCTGGCCCAAGGCTCTCCCAAGTTGCCTCGCCATCCTGGAGCCCGCAGGGCCTTCTGGGACTCGTGAGGGGTGCTCTGGAGGAGGCTGTTCTTCGCTCGACGCAGGCACGTCTCCTGGCACGGCACTCCCGCCCCCCCTCCCTCCACCGCCTGTGCTTCCGCCTTTGCTTGAGAAACGCCAGGCCTCCCATGGGGAAGGTGAGGTCACCTCGGGCCGGGGCCACTTCCAGCAGCACCCGAGTCCTCGGGGGCCCCCCAACGGGGTGGTGACCACACCGTGCGGTGAGTCGGTGGGGACTTGGTTTTGGGGTCGTTCTTGGATGATGTTTGCGACTGGGGCCTCCGAGGTCCCACAGCCGTGTGGTGACGGACCCTGCGGTGATGTCGTTGTGGATATCGAGGTCACCGCCAGGTATGTCACCACACGGTGTTCGGACCCCAAGAGTGAAGTCGGGCGGGCGTGTCCTTCTACAGGGGGAATTTCCAAAAACAGTCCCAAAAGAGTCTGGGGACGATTTTTCAAATATTTGTCAAATTGTTTTTTTCCGACTATTCTTCACTGTTCCTCCAAAATCTGCTTGTAGGAGGACACGCCCGAGCTGACCCAAGAGTCCGCAGAACGCGGCGCGGCTGATCGGGTGTGTTTGTTCGGATGCAACTCCTGGGAGGTCAAATTCTGATTTAGCCCTGGTCCGAAATCCGGCTTAATCTGCCTTAATCCCGTTTGATCCGGCTTCATCCCGCTTAGTCCCGCCTAATCCGGCTACATCCCGCTTACTGCGAGGCCCAATCTGGCGCAACAGCGCCCCATTGGGGCTTAATCCTCCTTAGTCCTTCCGACGAAGACCTCCCAGTAGTTGTCTCCCAATGTTTGTGGCGACCAGAGCCCGGCAGTGAGCGCAGCGGTCGCGGCGCGCAGTGCCGGCGGGCGGCGTCGACGGTTGGCGGCGGTCTGCAGCGCGCGCGCGCGCAGGGGCTGCCGGAGCAGGGAGGCGGCGAGCCCGCGGCGAGAGGCCCGCGGCGCCGCCGCCGTGGCCGCCGCGGTCGTCGCCGCCGTCTGCCTCTGCCTCTAGGCTGAAGTCGGGCCTGTCGCTCTACAGGGGGAATCTTTAAAGATAGTCAAAGAATAGTCAGGGGACGATCTGTTGCATATGTTTGACCATTTTGGTGCATAAACACAAAAAATCGTCCAAAATTCTTCTGTAGGAGGACAGGTCCGACTTAACTTTAGGCCTCCTAGATGGGGGCGAAGTAGATGGGGTCGGCGGATCGCGCCGCATCGCCGATGCATCGCCGATGCGGCTCGATGTGGAGCCCGATTTGCTTTACGTCGACGTCGCCGATGCATCGTCGACGTCGCCGATGCATCGCCGGTGCATCGCCGACGGATGGCCGATGCATCGCCGATGTATCGCCGATGCGGCGCGATCCTCCGACCCCATCTACTCCGACACCATCCAGGGGGTCTCTATTGCTTCTGCCTCGCCATGGGCATCAGCCTCCCCCAGGATGCATGACCCCCCTAATGCAGGAGGGGACAAAAAACACACGGACACAACGTTCATCGTCGATCCCGCCGGAACATATAGGGGGAAATATCGGAAAAGTGGGGGGACGACGAACACCCAGAAAAAATAGTTGCAAGTATCGGGAATCCTGGGATCTGTGTGTATGTATTCGTGTCCCTGGGCTTTTTCAATAACGTGTGTCAGCCGAATGTGTGTGTGTGTGTGTTGTCCCGTTCAGCTCCGCCGATGGCACGCAGTTTGTGCTTGCGCTTTCGTCATTGCGCAGCCTGCGTCGTATGGGAGGGCTTCGGTGGACAAGCGCCTGCTGGCGCGAACACATTGGCAAAACAACAAATCCGGTCGACCCGCATAGCAAGGATGGACGACGTTCCAAGGTGACCCTTGCATATTTCCCCCTTCGGCACATCATTGGCCGCTTTCGCTGGCCTCGCCCGTCTCGAAAAGTGTCGACATGGCCTTCCAAGGCCCGTATATCCTCATCAGTATGCTGATCATCGGCATCTTCCTCTTCCTTCCCCCCCGGCCCTGCTCCCGCTCGCGATTTTCCCCCAGCTGACGCTGCTCCTGGTGGTCCTCCTGTGCGCTCCTGTCGCCGTTCCCCCCGTCCACGTTCTCAACCTCGTCTTTACCTGCCACCGTAGGGCTCACCGCCTTCCTCCACCATTTCCTTCTCGTCCAGTGCCCCATCGTCTACATTCAGGGACAATGGAGGGGGGGGGATAGGCTCAGGGAAACTGCATCGACCCCCAATCTCTCTCTGATCGCCAATAGTGGCCCGAAAGCTCATCCCACCTGAGACCGTGCGGAATCGCTACGGGAGGCACATCGCCGATCTTCTCGAGGTGGGAAAGTGGGTGTGGTGTGAAGGGGTGTGGTGCCATTGCTGAATCAGGCGACGTTGCCTATCGTCGACGAAAACATCACCATGTCCACCATCGGCACCACACCCCTCTGTGCCACTCCCCTGTCCGACGCCCAGAGATATCTGCGATGCCTCGCAAATCCGAGGCCGATGCCTGGGCCATAGCGCCCCCCCACCGTGGCCCCGCAGGCATGCCTCTCGGCATCCGGCCTCCTCGTCCTCCTCCGACCTCCCGTTCCTCCTTTAAGCAATGGCGAAGCGTCCTGGCTGGCCAATTGCCCTACCAAACAATGTTCTAATAACCTTTTGTGGTTCCCACGGCATGTTCTTAGAACATTTCTGGTTGATATTGTCTTGTTTTAACAGATCGGGCTATGTTCTAAGAACATTGGTTTTGTCATTGGAACAGTTTGGGGTTCCAAGAACAGTTCGTGGTAGGACTATAGGAATGCCAGGCCGGTCGGTCCTTGCTCAACTCCTTCTTCTCGGCCGTCTCCTCCTCCCCCTCCGCGCGGGTCTCTCGCTCCGTGTCCTCCGCGTTGCCCTCCAGGGACGGAGCAGGGAAGGCGGCAAGAGGGAAGGGTGAGGAAGGTGGAAGGACGGATGGAAAGAGGGACGAGGAAGGAGGAGGAGGAGGAACTGGAGGAGAGGCGGACAGGAGGAGGAGGAGGAGGAGGAGGAGGAGGCGGAGGAGAACCTCAGGCCGAGTCGAGGGAGAGGTCAGCGGGCTTCGGGTCGCGAGGGAGAGGGAGAGGGAGGTCATCGCATCCCGGGGATGCTTTCGGATGCGTCCGTAGGCTTCTTAGTTCGAGAGAGGTGTGATGCGTCGGTGGTACGAGTAGGAGGCGGACAAGGCGGAGGAGGAGCAGGAGGAGTCCAGATGAGGAGGAGGAGGAGGAGGAGGAGGAGGAGACGGAGGTGGGGAGGAGGAGGAGGAGGTGGAGATCAGGAGCAGGAGTTGGACTGTGCAGCGAGGAGGGGAAGTAGGAGCAGGATGATAGTGAGGAGAGGAGGAGAAGAAGGGGGAGGAGGATGAAGAGAAGGAGGAGGAGGAGAGGATGGGGAGCTTGCGGAGGAGAACGAGAAGGAGGAGGAGGAAGAGGAGACGCACGACAGGCCCCGCCGGCGACGGCGACGGCAGCGACGACGCCCGCCGCCGGCCGCCGGCCGCCGCCGCCGCGCGCGCGCCAGGCGATCCGCCGCGGCCCGAGGGCGGCGCGATGCGCGGGCTATGAGTTGGTCGCGGCGTGGCGCTCGCCGGCAAAGCCACCGCGGCACTCCAGCAGGGGCGGAGCGTCCTGGCTCTCGCCAATAGCCCTACCAAACAATGTTCTAAGAGCCTGTTGTGGTTCCCACGAAATGTTCTTGGAACATTTCTGGTGGACATTATCTTGTCTTAACAGATTGGGCTTGTGTTCTAAGAACATTGTTTTTGTCATTTGAACTCTTCCTGGGTTCTAAGCACAGTTCGTGGTAGGACTTTATGGGAATGCCGGGCCGGTCGGTCCCTGCTCAACTCTCCGGCCGCCCTCCGCGGCACTCGGCGGCCGTCGGCGCCGCCTGCGGCGGCCTCCGAGGGGCACCCGACGGCCTCCCGACGGCCTCCGACTGGCATCCGGCGGCCTCCGCGCACCCCCGAGGGCCCCCCCTCGGAGGCGCGCGCGCGCCGTGCCCCCCCCCCCCCTCCTCCCCCTCCCCACAATCGGGACGACCGACATGGGTACGGAAAGAGTGGGTACGGTAGGTTTGCGTCGTGTCGACTCGCGGCGACCCCAGCGTGGGCGTTCAAGGTTGAACGCCGCCGGCGACCCAGAATCGATCGATGTTGAACGATCGGACGTTGCGGCAGCGGCAGATCATTCAAGGTTGAACGATCCCTGCGGTGTCAAAAACCAACGCTGGGGTCGGCACGACACGAACCTGCCGTACGAGGGCCGGCAGCAGTTCCTGTTCCTTTTGAACCGGACTCGCTGTCGGTGTGGCCGCGGCCTGTTTCCATTTGAGGCAGAAGGCCGCCTGCCCGACAGTGGCCGCTGTTGGTTTGGGACAACATTTGTTGTTGTGCCCATTCTTTCCGTGCCCGTTTCGGGCGTCCAAATCCCCCCGGGGCCCCGAACCCCCACCCCGCGCGCGCGCCTGCGAGGGCCCCCCCGAGCGCGTCGCGAGGGCGTTGCCGAGAGGGCTCCCGCCGGCCTGCGAGGGGGCGTCCGACGGCCTCGGAGGGCGTCCGACGGCCTCCGACGGCCTGTCGTTGAAGGCAGAGCGGAGAGCGGGGGCTCATGGCAAGAAACGCCCTGCTTGCATCCAGGGTGCCCTGGGTTTCTCGGCTTTCGATGGCTTTGCGATGGAAGGCGCGACGTTCCCGCACCAACAATCCATGGACGTCCTGGGGTCTTGTGGAAGGTTTCTTGTGGACTCCTGGCATCGCTTGGACGTGTGCATTTTCTTTCTCGGCGAGGACCTTCGAGGAGCATCCTCGACCATCTGGCAGAAAGAGCACGCGCAAAACCGAAACATGCACCGGGAACGGACGTCCGAGCGACGGCACGGACTAGCCTCCGCTGGGGGGCATTCTCGGATGCCCAGGTCCCAGTCTGTTTCGGGCGCGGAGTGGTCTTCGCTCGGCCCTCGGCTTCGGGGGGCGGGCCGAAGCCCAATCAAATTTCAACGCCTTCCTGCTTCGCGTCTCCACTCTTAAGTCGGGCCTGCCCCTCCACAGGAGGAATATTCAAAGATGGTTAGAACATAGTCTGGGGACGATTTGCTTTTTACTAATGTTTGACAATTTCGGAGTATGTTTTGGGTATTTTGCATTTGTCGTTCAAAATCCCCCTGTAGGGGGACATGCCCGACTTAATTCTACTCGCTTCTTGCGTCCGACGGGCACCCCAGAACAGACGTACACCCTGGAGAGGGGGCCTCAGGGCCCACCTCGGGGCGCCCAGCGACTGCGGTGTGGCGCCCGCCGTGGCTGGAAGCGCGCTCGCCGCGACACCCTACAGCCGAGACGCTGAAATAAGGAGCAGTTTGGATTCGGAGGGGGCTCGATGTTCCTGACGTCCTTCCGTGGTTGTTCCTCTAGCCTTTCTCGTGCACCCAGGCTCTTTGTTGAAGTTACAGAGGGGCTTCGTTCCTTGTTTAGCGTTCCTTCTATCAGCAGCCCGACTGTACTTGGGAATACGTCGCCCTGGGGGTACTAGGTACGCTTGGCCCTTCCAAAATCCATGGGCTTCCAGGGAGGCCTCCGAGGTGCTGGGACTGCAGCCGCGCGCCACCGAGGCTCGGTGGTTCTTGGAAGCGGCAGGGCCATGTTTGCCCCCGTTTCCAGCAATGTGGGTCTTGAGAATGAAGGCGCAAGGAAACAAACAGGCTCGCCGAAGCGTGAAAGAGCGGCCTCGGGAAGAGCGGCCCCGGGATTGGAACGGGCGCAGGCACCGGACAAACGCATCCGCGACGGAACCCGAGCAAACAACGGCGCCGGAATTGGAAGCGCCAGCGGCAGAACGGAGTCGAAACAACACGGCTTTGCTGTTGCCGAGGACCCTGGAGCACCGCGGGCCCTCGGAGGCCTCCCGCGCGCGCGAGGCCGCTCGCCGAGGCCTCGCCCGCGCGCGCGCGCCTTGCGAGGGCTGGCGCGGGCCCCCATCCGTCCCTCGGGCCGCGTGGGCGGGCGCGCCCGCGCTGGGCGCGCTGGGCGCCATGGGCGCCGCCGCGGCGCGCGCCTGCCGCTGCCGCTGCCGCAGCTGCTGCTTGGTCGTCTTCGCCGTCGCCGCCGCCGTCGCCGCCCGTCGCCTTCGTCGCCGTCTCCCGTCGATCCCCCGACATCCTGCGAAGAAGCAAGCCCCATAAACATCTACTTGTGGCGCTCCGCGCGGACTCCTTGGATCCGCGCGCGGCCCCCACTGGCGGCGCCTCCGGCGCCGCGCCTGGGAGGGGGGTCCAGCGCGGATCCAGGAAGTCCGCGCGGAGCGCCAATAATTTATGTCTGTGTAGTTTTTTCTGCTTCTAGTCTCCCGCCGACCCCTGACATCCTGCCGAGACGGTTGCCTTGGCCTCGTTCTCGCCTGTTGGGGTCTCCTGAGAGGCCCTCGTCACCACGGCTGAATTCGCCCCGAAATCCGGGTCATAGTGTAATTACCCAGGAGAGGTGCGGGGCGCACCGGTAGCGGGACGTCGTTCATCGTCATTCTCTGAGGTTATAATGTTTCATTTGTGCTCACATTTGGCGATTCTTGTCCTCGTTTCTGGCCCCAGGACCATCACTCACGGATCGAGCCAGCTCGAACCATACTTTAGTAAGTTGGGGTGTATCGAGTTTGGTTCTGATTTTCGGCGATGTTGCGTTCTCGTCTTTCGCATCTGGGGGCCGTCGTCACGCTCGAGTTTTCGCCGGCGCCGCCGTCTCTGTCCTTGCCGGCGCCGTCGTGTCAGTGGCAACGACAGGGGGCCCGATCGGCACAGGGGTGGATGTATCGACCACAAATCGCCCATTGGTCGCCCAGATAGGGGCCCGACAGCCCAACCCCGCCCAGGAACGTGCGGATTTGCTCTCGGGGGCCTCCCGCTGCCAGAAACCAGGAGGACGGGGGGGCGAGTAAGAGGAGCAGGACGAGGAGGAGGAGGAAGCATGGAGGAGAAAGGCACGTGATGAGGGTGGAGGAGGATTGAGGAGTAGGGTCGGGAGAAGGAGGAGAACGACCGACGACGACGATGATGACCACGATGATGATACTGATGACGATGATGATGATGCTGATGATGATAATGCTGATGATGATGATGATGATGATGATAATGTTGATGATGAGGATGAGGATGATGATGATGATGATGATGATGATGATGATGATGATGATGATAGTGATGATGAGGATGATGGTGGTGGTACTATGATGGTGATGATGATGCTGCAAATGATTATGTTGTTGCTGATGCTGATGCAGCTGTTGTTGCTGGTGACGTTGATGATGATGTTGCTGATGATGAACATGATGATGTTGATGATGATACTCATGCTGATGATGATAATGACGATTGTGATAATGGTAATGGTGATGGTAATGGTGATGCTGATGACGATGATGATGACGATGATGATATTGATGATGATATTGATGATGATGATGATGATGACGATGCTGATGATGATGGTGATGATGACAATGAAGATGATGATGATGATGATGATGATGATGATGATGATGATGATGATGATGCCAATGATGATGATGCTGCTGATGATGATGCTGAAGATGATGCTGCTGATGACGAGGATGCTGATGACGCGGATGACGATGATGAGGATGACGGCGACGATGATGATGAGGAGGAGGATGACGATGATGAGTATGATGATGTTGATGATGATGATGATGATGAGACGGATTATGAAGATGATGATGATGATGCTGATGCTGATGCTGATGCTGATGCTGATGCTGATGCTGATGATGATGATGATGATGATAATGATGATCATGATGATGATGATGATGATGATGATGATGATGATGATGATGATGATGATGAGGATGATGATGATGAGGATGATGATGCTGCTGATGATGCTGCTGATGTTCTTGAGAGCGTGATCCACCGCCGCTTTATTATGGAAAATTCCTCCCCTCTTCCTCCGGAACCCCAGGATCCCCACCGTCCTCCGAATCGAATCCCCCCCCCTTGCTCGACCCCCCCCCCCTCCCTTCCCCCAGCAAAACCCCCTTCCCCCCTAACCCCTCCCACCCCCCCTCCAGAAAACCGGGGGGGCGGGGTCACTACTGGTTCGATACCCCCCCCCGCCTCCAGAAAACGGGGGGGGTCACTACCGGTTCGAACCCCTTCCCCCCCCAGTCTCCGCCGGCAACGGCAAACGATTCCCGGGTCCCCACCACCGTCCTCGCCATTGTCCTCATCGCTTTGCCCAGCACCACCGTCCCCACCACTGTCCCACTGTTTCCACTGTCCCCACCACTGCCCCCACCACTGTCGCACTGTCCCCACTGTCCCCACCACTGTTCCCACCACGGTCCCACTCTCCCCAGTGTCCCCACTGTTCCCACCAGTCCCACTGTCCCCGCCGTCCCCACACATGTCCAAGTGTCCCCACTGTCCCCGCCGCTGTCCCACTGAGCTGTCCCATTGCTCCCACTACTGTCCCCGCTGTCCCCACCACTGTCCCCACTGTCCCATTGTCCCACCACCGGCCACACCACCGCCCTCATCATTGTCCCCACCA